GATGGGAGAGGCACTGTGAAAGAAAGCACAGAAATGAGTGTACTGAATAAACAAGAAGTGGGAAAACTGGTGAGATGGCAAGGCTGCACCTGAGGCAACAAGAGATCAGAATGATATTGGGAAGTTGGGCTGCACATCGGATAGGGCAATGTTGTCAAAGTGAATTTCACTTATTGATTGTGCTTAGGGTATGCTTTTGGCATCTGAACTTTGAGTAAGAGGGGAACTATCCAAGCCACTGGAGACCAAGGTTTTGTTCTCTGGCCAGAGTACTGTTTGTCCCAGGAAGGAGTGATTAATATGAAAGCCATTCACAACTTTGTCTTTTGTGTAGAGGAACTGAAAGTTTTCCAGCATCCAGTGGCTACCAAGGAACACAATGAGATGTGTTGGGTCCTGCTATCAGGACCATCTATGGCCCTCCACCTTCAGTGATGCTCTGTTCTTTATGGCTTTCTACAGTGATGTTTTGAGGGAAGAATAGCATTGGATGCATTCTTTCTGCAAAAGGCTGAGGGAGGGGTGAACATGTGGAAGAGATGTGTTGTTCTGCAGTCAAGAGCATCACCTCCAGTGGTGACAGGGAAGAGAAATCACAGTCCTCTCTCTGGCCCTGCACCCTGGCTCTTCTCCTTCCATTCATATTTCTTTTCTAGGCCTGCTCAATCCTGATAACAATGCCTGGAATTATCTCCCCCATCTTCTTTGTTGTGCAAGATCTATATCCTCTTTCAAAAACTTTTTCAAAGCCAAGTCTTTTTGGCTTCCAGCTCTCACCCCACCTTTTTTCAGCCAAAGAACAAGGCAGGAGACGGGTGGTGGGTGAATGCTGGGTAGCAGAGGATAGGAAAATTACAGGTTGGCCTGGCAGCCACCCAGACTGAAACTGGCCAAATCCAGCCAAAAAGAAAAAACGGTTCACAGACTGAAAGGAGGATGTTCAAAACAGACCTGAAGTGGGAGGCACAATTGCTTTGCCTCTTCCTGGCTCTGCCAAAACTTTTGGGGGAGTTAGTCCCCTTTTCTATGGAGCAGTGACCTCTCCTCTAAAGTAGCAATAATGTTCATCTTTTGCAGACACAGGATAAGCACTTATGAACTGAAGTCCTGTTGCAAACCAAGGGGATAGATTACTAGCTAAAATCTTCCCTGGCTTAGGGTTTTTTGAGCTGTTGTTGCCGCACAGTGAGGGAATGGGGAGGCAATCTGATGTTTCTGTGCTCATTTTTGTTCCTTTTGCACAGAGATGGTGTAAATGAAGACAGGCAAGGGCAGAAGGATCCCAACACTTTATCCTGAAGAGCAACACTTCTGCCTCCTTTGTGCCTGCACTATGGAAAATCAATGCTTGGAAAAAATACAGAACATCTCTCCCATATCTATTCTTTGGCTCTTTGGACTGGAAAGCAGCATGATGGATGACATGAGAATTTCCTAGAAGCTCCCCCCTTTAGTCTTTCCTCCCCCTTCTGCCATTTGACCTCTTTAACACATCAGCAAACAGTCATACGCCCCACACATGTCCTGGCAGCAATTCCACTGCCCAGCTCTTCTGAGCAGCCCTGCAACTTGCTGCAGAGCCAGGGCAACCTGAGGGCTTTTGGAAGGACACAGCTTTTCTCCTTCCAACTCAGTGTCTCCCTTCCAGCAGCCAGGATGAACATCTCTGGCATTTCAGTATCTATTGGTCCCCGTCCTTTCTCAGGACAGGTGATTGCTGCTCAGAAACAGTTAAACTGACATCTGGAGGAATAGATATATCTAACAGGGGTGAATTCCTGTTCCTCCCCAATCTAGTTTCCAATGTGTAAAGTAAAGGGCTCCTGGACTGCAAACTTCATGGTTGCAATTCCAGGCATGTGAGTACAGACACTGCACCTTTCATGTCTTGGAAGCGTTCTGCTTTATGTGTGATTTTCTTTCCCTTCCTCATCTCATGCCATTAGGCCTGATAAGGCCTTTGCATTAGGATAAAGAACCAGGGAAGGAAAAATGTTACTTGAGGGGGTGAAATTGCAATATTAATTGTCTGGAGGGAAATTTTTCCCAAACACATAGAATGAGATTTAACATCTATATAGAAAAGTCAAAGTACCTCCTACCAGGACTTATTTCCACTCTGACACCACTTACCCAACACCAGAATCCAAAATTTCTGCTTCCCTTGATTCCCCTGAATCAGGAAAAAAAAAATTTTCCATGCTTCTGTAGGATGAAGATCTCGGTAGTGCCTCTGGCAACACCTGCACCAGAGGGTCAGCCCCACAGAACATGTGCAATAATAACTATGCAAAAGCATCCAAGATCACTCCTCCGATGGATTATCCAAGGTCCATGAAGTTCCAGTAAAGAGGCTGTTACTCAGGACTTCACAGGCCTCATTCTACATTAACTTTATTCATTTTGGTTCTTGATGAAAGATTCCACAATCCAGTTTTCATTGCCTTCTTCCCCCTCATGTTTCTTTTGTGCAAATAGAAACCTGTTTTACTTAGTGTCTTGAGATAAGTAATTATTCACATTTACCTATCTGGCGTTGCTATTTCCCATAATGAATACTATTTCCTTACATCTGTCATGTGGTCTTTAAATCATGTAAACATCCTCCTTTTTATGACTGAGCCTATGGAAAAGACCCCTGCCTAGGTATTGAATCTTTTAGTTTCTAAGTTGCTCACTTATTCTTACTATGTTCTGCAAATCTAAGACATTTACTTTATCAAGACTTTGTAAATCTTAGTCCCCATGGAAAATCCTGATAGGAGCAGCTCATTTCTTCTATTATTCCTTCTATTTCATTCTGTGATTCTTCTCACCACTAGTTGGAGATAGGTCACCAAGTCTGGGCCTCACAGCTTTGTGCAACAAATGCTATAGAAAATAAATATCTTCAGGCTAACAGATGAATTGGAATAGAATGAAAGTGCAATTTTAAAAGAGTATCAAGTTTCAGAAAAAAAAAAAATCAGATGGAATTCACGCTGTTAATTTTTGAAGTACAGGGAGAAAAGCATATTCTGATTATTATTTTTTTTTAAGCTGGGAAATTCCAGGCAGACCTTCAGCTAGCAAAACAGAGAGATAGCCTTCAATAACTGTAGGCCTTTTGAAATTGTTCATATTATTTGAACTGTTAATTCTATTTTATTTTAAATGAAACAAATTCCATCCAGTTCTAATAAATTCTTTGTTTCCAAAAGAGACACATTATCATTTATTGCTTGTCTGGCGATCTTATCTAGCACAAATATCTTAGTGCTACACAGACATAGTGAAAGCCAGTGTCCTTACCCTCAAAGTCTCTATAGGCCCTTGGGTCTTTGAGTCCTGTTTCACTGACTTTCACGGACTCTTGCCATAGGCAATTTGCTGAAAGCCAGATAGCTATTTTTGTAAATGAGGATGTTGTGGATCTCAAAGAGATCAGGGTGATATTAGAGCTGATAACACAGAGTAATGGGATGAAACCGAGCTAAGGAAAATGTGATAATGAAGGCAAGCACTAAGTACAGCCTGTTTGTATGACTGTCTCTTCAAAGGAAACTCTGGTACGTGAACTGTTCAAGACTGGCTTGGGCAAGGCAGCCAACACTTTCTTTGGAGCCATCTGGGACTGGAGGAATTGATTTGATGACATCGAAGGTTGCTGGGATTTATATGGTGAGGGTAGATTTTTCTGATCTCTTGATTTAATGAAGAGAAGCAGGAACCAAGCTGATGTCCCACTGTGAGGAGCACCTCAGGATCACTGTGGTGCTTTGCTTTACATGGACATATCGAAAGAGAAAGTGCTATTGAAATGAATTGAAAATGCCACAGTTTTTTAATTTTTTTTTTTTTTTGTTTTTTTTTTTTTTTGTCAGGCAGGGCAGATGGCTGAGGATGTTTTCTGAATTTAAGAGGTGACAGCATGACAAGCACAGTGATCAGAGAGCATTCATGGGCTTTTACCAGAAGTTTTATAGAACAACCTGAGGGTCTCGCCATGAGATTTATAGACTAATAACCTCCTTTTTATGATGGGCTTTAGTTATGACCTTTATTCTTTCACTCTTTGTGTGCCAACTCCGACATACAGTCGGTTCTCTTCTGAGTCATTTCACTTGCTTCTTATTCTTCCTAACTTTTAATTTTCTTGCTCTGCAGTTCTTTTGCTTCAGTGTCCTCTGATCTTCCTGGGGTTTCCTGAGGACTCTAGCACTTCCTCTTACTGGTCATTGTTTATTTTATGGCCTCCTTGGGGAACTCTTCCAGACTGAGAAGGGTTTGCCAGGGAATGGCTTTTCCATTTTTCCCTGGTGATGATGTATTTCTACTCAATGCCTGGGATTCCCTATAGGCATTTTTTCTGAAGGGTATTCATTTCTCACATGATGCTCTGGGAGCTCTCCCACTCTTATAAGTAAGCAATGAGATCAAATCTGAGCTGGATGCTCTTTCTCATGTAAATTTGATGCCACTGCAATCAGTGAGTGTTGGAGATGCCCTTCCCAAATCTATTGCCACCTTTCCATGGTGTCATCAAGCTGCTTGGGCAGGTGACCAGCCTCATCTTCATTTCCTGATGTGACCGGTAATTTGGATTTCTTGAGTAATTCTTTGGGCAAGACATACCCAGCCTTCCTTGAGCAGTTGGCTTCTTCCAGATTCTCTCTGTGTTTTTCAGCTCCTCAGAGACAGTACCTGGCTCATTGTGCTACCTATTCTTCAAGTCATGGGCAAGCTGATGGAAACTAGGCATGTCAATGCCTTTGACCTATCACTCCAAGCTCTATGTCAGGCAGAGCTGCCTTCGATGATGGAAGTCAAGGGAATTACTCACATCTGCACGTACCTCTGACTCCTAAAGTCTTGTTCCTACAAGCTTCCCCTCCATCACCCCATCTTAAAGAGCACCTTGGTGCCCGTCTCCGCAGGCTGGCCTCTTCCTCTCCTCCTGTTCCCATTCTCTTTCTCCCACCCTACCAGCTGGCAGGCTGCTCAGCCCCACAGCACAAGCAGCAGCAGCAGCTGGGCCTCCTCCCAGCACCCCTCCGGCACAGCTGCAACTGCTGAGCACAAGCAGGACAGCTGGCTGGCGTCTCCTCCGCGTCCCCCCTTCCACCCTTCCTGGCTGCCCTCCCCGTTCCCTCGCCAACCTGGCTCACCCGCCTCTCTCCTGGGCCACCCCAAAAGTGTGGTGGCCCATGCCAAGGCTTGGCAATGTATCTTCATTATCCCAACTCTCTGCATGCGCAGCGACGGAGCAGCATTCCTCCACCTCTCCTGTCACATCCTGCTGGCAGCCAAGTAGGATGATGATGACACAGTAGGGCTTGGGTAGGTTTTTGCTCTGTCTTGTCCCGCAGCCAACCTCTTTGACCTCTGGATGAACCCAATAAAAGAGAGTGTCTTTGGAGCACGCTCTTGCCGGTTTTACATCTGCGACCAGTTGCAATTTAAATTCCCTTTCTGTTTGGGAGAGGAAATGAGAGAGGAGTAAGGAAGAGTGATAGTTAAAACGAAAAAAAATAAAAATAAAAATGAAGAAATGAAAAAGAAAAAAGAAGCTGGATAAGAAGAAACCAAAAACAGAGAACTGAGGCAAATCTTGTGGTCGGAAAGAACTCGGTAAAAAGTGAAGTCAATGTTTCATAATATATTAATATATTTCTTCTAAGAAAACAGTGGAAAAAAAGTACAGGGCCTTATCTTTTGTCCATAGCTACTTCACATGTAAATTCACAGGGTCACTGTTGGGGTGGGAATGTGCCGAGCATTTCACTGACACCAGCTGAGAACTTGTCAAGCGTCCTGGTTTGACAGGTAATCAAAGCTTAATCCAAAGGGCAGGCCAGAACCCCAATTACATGTCCAACGGTCATCGTAAACATTAATATATCACCACCGGCTGAGCTGGTGAAGACTGAACTCTTGCTGCTTAAAGCCTCTCCTGCCTCCAACAGACAGCCAAAATCCCAATCCCAAAATAGCAGCACCATAGCAGTAACACCATCATAATCCCCAGCCATGGACTGACTGGAAATGAATCGACAGAGGGGTAAGTGGAATGAGCTTGCCTTGAGATGGGACAATTTTGATTAATTCATTGTAAAAATGTTAAAGGGTCAACTGCTTCTTCTCAGAGCTAGCAGAAAATGTTGTTCTGCGTTAATGTACTTCATTTTATTTCTTTTTACAGTCACTAAATCTTCACTGAATCCAGTGGGCAGTCAATGAGGGTTGGACCAGGACATTGCAGTGATTTAATGACTACTATCTTTATTTTCCAGATAACTTCAGTGATCTGGATGTTACAGTTGCAGATGTAGTAAGGCAAGAGGATCTTAACCTTTGAAACTCTTTCAGGCTGCTTTGCATTCTGACACAGCTGCAGCCCCCCAGACAATAAATCTCCTTATATATTAAGCTGTCTGGGGAAAAGACTGTTCATCATTATATATGTATATCAATCCAAAATTAAAACTTCCTGGTGTTAATTTAATTTATGTAGTAAAACAGTGTAACAACAATGCCTTAAGACAGGGAGCAAAGCTATGTAGATCAACATTTTTATTTTTAAAAACTTAGTTCCAAATGAAATTAAAAAAAAAAAAAAAGTGACTACTTCATTTTCCTAAGTGAAGATGCTCTGAAAAATTTTCACTGGGAAAAAAAAAAAAGTAATCATTTTTTCATTTCAGAATTTTGGTAGACAAATGAGATAAAGATGTGACTGGGGTTGAAAGCCTAATGCCTCTGAGAGCTCCAATGGGAAAACTTCAGATTCCATGCCTGGCAATGGAGAGCACCCATGCCTTGGGGAGTCCAGTGCTCTCAGAAGGCTCCAGGATCTCAGTGGTATGTCATAGAAGCTGGATATCTCAGATTCCTAAGCCTTAGGTCAGCCTAAATAGCCTGTCTCAAGGTTTTGGAGGCTCTACTCTCTGACTAATCACCTGATTTCTACCAGGTGGAAAACCCCTCCCAGCATTTCAAAATCAGCTTGTCCAATTGCCTGTTACTTTGAAATATTTGTACTGTGGAAGAAATGTGTATTCTCTGGTTATTTTTCTATTTTACCTGAATTGTCCAAAATAGGCAGAGTACATGAAAAGTTTTGAGGCTTGGATTTTATTATTGTTGTTATTATTATTATGATTATTACTATTTCTTGAGGGAAGTATAAGCAGAGAGCAAAGCAAAGTAGTTTTCACAAGACTGAGGCATGCTCAGAACAGGGTAGAGACCAGCAAGCAAAGGTCACTGGATTCCAGCCCCCATTTTAAACATAGAAAAGCAGAAGTAGGAAGGAAAAAAATAAAAAAGAGAGAGAGAAAGAAAGCAGTGGCATTCTCTTTTCCATCCCCTCATCTTGTGCAAATGGTTTCTGTATCCATCGAAGGGTTTTGCTGACTATTAGCTCAGCTGCAGAGCATTCAAGTGGAAAGCTGCAGAGCTGAGAATTGCTAGCAGCTTCTCCCAGCCCCATTAGCTTGCTACTCACACAGTCTGTCAGTAAAGCGGCTGGAACGAGGTGTAGTTTTTGATTTTGGTTTGGTTTGGTTTGCTTTGTTTTGTTTTGGGGGGTGATATTTTATTTTTTTCTCATTCTGAAGGATCACACAGAGCAATCATTTGCCAAAGCTGAACTACAGCTACCTCTGGAGAGGGACATGGCAGTAATTTCCCATCAGGTGCAGATGCATCATCAGTAAAGGGAGGAAAGGTGGAATAATTGCTTCAGCTGATGCACAAGAGAGTTTGGAAAAATGGAATTTGGATATTAGGACAGTCTTCTTCACATCAGTTTTGTACAGAGGTGTTTTATCTTTCCCTGCAGAGTTCTCCTTGAGTCTACTCCTCATTGAAGCTCACCCTCCCATGGCATCCCAAGGACAACAACTTGGTCATTTGCAGTAATGCCCCTGGAACTGGCTTCAACAATGTTGCATCAAACCGTGGTGGCAAGATTGTTTATGTTGCATTTTTTTGGCATATTTGGGATGTAGTTTCCACCACTTTGAAGATGCCAATATCTCCAGTTCTTCCATTTCTTAAGTGGTAAGCATCTTTTAAGAAAATGCTAACCTGGGTCCTGGGATCACCAAAACCTCAGAACAAACTGCAAATGCTGCCTCTGAGCATTGCCCAACAGGTAAAATTTTTAAAGTAACTGAGGAACCATGGAGCAATGGGAGAACATGACAAAGAGAATGACATAATGTGGATAAACTAAAGCTCACTAGAATAATAGAACTAGATTAAAAGAACTAAGATTTCTAATTTGTTTCAGTCCATGTTTACTCCATGGAAGAAAGGTTTATCATAAAGGCTAGACATAGACCTGGTGATTTTACCAATATGTGATGTATTTGGGTCCTGAATATGAAATAGATTCTTTCCATTGAGTTCTGCCCTTATCCAGTGGCCACCCTTTCATCACTTCAGCACTTTCTGAATTTGTTCTGCCTGATTATATTCAGGTTTGGAGCAGGAGAACTGTTGCTCCAGAGCAAAAAGGCCCCTCACCTGTTGTTACTTATCTTCTACCAGCTAATGCCAGACATTTCCGAAGAAGGTGAGGAAAATTACATTGCACAACTGATCTTTACTCTGCTAAAACTCTGCCTTAGATGGAGGGGCTGGCATACAACAAGACTATCCCATAATCCAGAGGTATGATGGTTAGAAGTCAGTCACTCTATCAACCTACATATTTACAAGGTACTTGGTATAAATACACAAGAAAAATTGGATGACCTTAAGCGCAGGAGAATTGGAAATAGAATGAAATCTAATATTACAGAGCCAAGCACTTAGAGACTAACAACAAGAATAGCTGCTTTAAGCAGGGTGCTCATCCACTGGAAACAATGAAATTGCAGGAGAAGGAAGTGGGTCCATGCCTTCATCATAGCACGATCAGGCACTGCTGATGTGATGCAGTTATGGAAAAGCAGCATGCAGTAGCTGTATGCAGTACAACAACTATTTACATTTAAGTTAGTGAAGTGTTAATAGCATAGGACAAGGTCTCCCTTGGCATAACAGAAACTGTTCTGGCACTCCAAGTCCAAAAAAGGTGAATTTGAAGTGGAGCAGATAAAGTAAAGGGCTTCTGCGGTGATCAGGTGGACAGAAAGCCCATCAAATGTGAGGAGACTAGGAGAGCTTGTTTTGTTTATCCTAGATAAAAACAAAGATGTGTTGGTCTGTGTTAATACATCGGTGATGTAGATGTCACAGAGGGTGACAAGTTATTCAAGTTAAAGGACAGTGCTGGAACAAAAACAAATGGGTGTAAACAAACTGGGAATAAATTTAGTCTGGAAATTAAAATAAGGTTTCTAAAACTCACATCATCTTAGGTATCTATTCTTACTGTGTCCTTCTCCCTGGCTTTGACCATTATGAAATTCCTCTACTGCTTCTGCAAGGTCATTCCCCTCACCTGTTTCTATGCATCTTTCCCATGATGTTTCTTTTTCTGCTGCAGCAGAGGCATTGCTCAATTCATTTGTTCGTAGTGTCAAAAACATTCCTCCTAACCTTACTGTCATCTTCAATCCAGCACCAGTCTCTGTGTTTGTTTGTTTGTTTTTTTGTGTGTGTGTGTGTGTTTTTGTGTTGGTTTTTTTTTGTTTGTTTGTTTGTTTGTTTGTTTTTTCCAATTTTAAGGTTGTGTCATCAACACTTGTTAAATTTTCAGCATCTTTGAGGAAGGCTTCCCAAACATTTGGAAACAAAGGTAAGAGGTCACAAGTTGTGGCCCAGGATGCATCAATAAATTGATGCTCAACAAAGACCTTGACAGTTAAAGAAGAGGTGGCCTGTGTGAAACTCTATAGGCATGTGGCCTCCAAAGATGAATGGCTGTAGTGCTTCATCTCATACCATGCCCATATCATCACATTCAGACCCCTGGCTTTTTCCAGTCCCCGTGAGCAAGGGGTCTGCTACTACCAAAATGGCTCATTCAACTACCTTGTGGTCACTTCCTAGGACCAAGCTCATTAGCACTGCACAATAAGATGTGTCAAAAGAAGGACAGGAAAGGGAGTAAGAAAAAGAAAACAGAGCAAATGGGAAAAGAAAAATTCAAGAGATCCTTCCTGGAGCCCACCCTGCAATGTTCACTGACTCCAGCCTCGTCTACCCTGCCCAAAACAGAGCAGCAGAGTTCAACCAACATGACAAATGTCAGTGGGAGCTGTTGCCCTCAGCATCAGTGCTATAATTAACCGAGGAAATATGAGTTTCACAGGCTCTCAGACATGATCTTAGCTTGCTGTGGAAATGAACCAATGATGATATGCCCGCCTGCATCCGCCTTCTCTTCTGTCCCCTCCCTCCCCGCACAGGCCCCATTCCCGCCCCACACAAGAACAACAGCAGCTGTGTTGGTATTTATATTCACTCCAACATAGTAGAAAAATCACTGCCAACACAGAGCCAGGCCCTGCCTTTGCACAGACCATCTGCCAACTGCTGATGCTTGCAGCTCCCCCAACCTCCTCTTCTGGTTTCGTCGGCTCCAAGCCCAGGTCCCGTCACCATTCATCTGCCAGTGGTGGATAACCATGTTCTGGGTTTGGTGTACAAAAAAAAAGCAGGCTCGTAACCTGTTTCCCTGCTTACCTTTCCTAAGAGCCCCTTGCTGTGGTTAGAGTGGGTCCCGGAGGAGACAGCTTGCCCCTGTTGCCTACCCACATAATCAAAGCATGAGAGCCAGTGACAAGCACTTGGTGCTTACGGGTTTATGTGATGGGTGTGCACAGGTACCCTGGGTCACTGGGTGAACTATGTAAGTATAGAGCTGAATCACATGAAAGTATATTTATCACAAGCTAAGCTATCTCCATTCTCCATAGAAGACAGGAAAAAAAAAGAAAAAAAAAAAAGGAAAAAAAAAAAGCTGTGAACAGAGTTTTGCAGAGCCAATTATAAGATATTACATGGAGCTAAACATTGTGCCAAGATACATACTCTCTCCCTTTTATAGATTTCTAGGCACTTTCTGATGTGTTACAATAATCTAGTGAAAACTAGATCACTAGGAGGTAGTAGAATGAACCATTAATTAGAGTTTAAAGCCACACCATTAATTGAAAAGGAAAAACGCAACCATTAAAAGCAAGCATTGATATGATCCCATGATCACATAATAACAGCCTCACCACCCTGGAGTTATTCTTCACCCTGTCCTCATTGCTGCCTCCCCATCCACATTAAGCTTCCCTCCCTCCCTGGCTGGGCTCCAACCAGCTCAGACCCATCTGCTCCTGCTGTCTTGACTGCACGAGCCAGGAGTTTCCAAGTCAAGACTTGGGAGTATCGCAGCAGGTCACTGTTGATGCTTCATATGAAGAAGAACAAGCTGTGATAGGATTTTACTCCTACTGAAGGAAAAAAAAATAATATATATATATATATATATATGTATATACACACATATATATAATATATATTAAGAACAAAGATATTGATAGTAGTCCCACAATAATGGCAAGACAGACCACAGCCTACAAGACTAGGGCATGCTTAGAAATCTGTTCCTTTCTTTTTCACATCTAATGCAGCTTTTAGGGATGCAGACTCCCCGGTGGTGTGAGTCCTGGGTGGTCAGGCCTTGCTTTGGGAATCAGGTGTATGCGAGCCCATTAAACTTCTGCCCCCTCATGGCAGTCACTGCCCTTACTATTTTGATGTCAATTGAGGACAAAACCTCATCCCTGCAATGGCCGGGGCACATGATGTCAGGTCTCGCTGAATGCACCCAGGCAGTTGTCCTCAGGAGGAGTCAGGCTGGTCTCAGCACCACCAACAAAGCTGCCCTACAAAAACTGGGGGCACGTACGTGACGAACCCTCCGCGCTGTCCCCTTCCTTTCTTCCATACAGGTCATGTTTACGCAAAGCCCGGGCAGCGGTAGGGTGGGAAGCAAACAATTATTTTTTTTAATTAATTCTTGGCAGATAGAAGCCCCTGCTAATCACAGCTTCCCGCTTCAGCCTTGTTTATTGGCTGTGACTTCAGAAAGCACGGAGAGAAGGAGCCAGCACTTCTCACCCAGGTCCCACAGGAAAGCTCCTCAGCAGGGATAGCTGGAATGGGAGGCTGCTCTGTCCAGGCTCAGACCTGAAACTCAACAGCTCCATTAGCTGAAGAACAGCAAGGTTACAAAGTCTTGTCTGCATCCTTAAATCCTACTGGTGGAACAGGCAGGGATGAGTCGATAGCCAAAGGAAGCTTCATTCGACACCCTGTGAGACCTATGAGAGAACATTTCATCTTAGCAAAGGCCAACAGAGAGAAAATGGGGACTTGAAGGCACAGCACGGTTTACCCAGCATCATGCAGAAGTTCAAGGGTAGCACCCAGAGCAGAACCAAAGTCCTGTGAGTCCTAGCACAGCGTTTTATCCATTAGGCAACACTGCCCAGCTGTTAATTGTAACTCGGTGAGTGGAAATGCGTTTTGTTAACAGCCACTGAATCACTGTCCTGGCAGATCAATGGGCTAAACTTTATCCTCCAGACAACAACCCACCCTCCTGTTCTCCTTCTTCCCCTAAACTTCCCTTGTTATATAGGAGAGCCTGCTCCAGTCTGTCTCCTCTGGCACTGCAAAGTATTCCTGGGCTTTGTACACGACCTGTTAAATATGGCTCTAAGGTGCCTATGTTTCATGTATTATCTGTGTCCTGTAAATAATTTTAGGAGGTTTTGAGATAACAGTGTTGCAGCATTTAAAGAAGGTTCAAAATTCTCCGTAAGACACAGCTACAGAAAAACAAAAGGGAATGTTCTTTATCCCAAAGTGCCCTTTTTTTCAACATCAAGCCTTGTCCTGGGAAGCTGTCAATTTTGGAATCATCTTATTTACAGATTTAAAAAAAAAAAAAATCAGAACAAAACATTGTGACCTTGTTGAAATGGCAAACATTAGCTTCTGTTTACCAACTCTTAAAATGTTCCTATCAAATTTGGAAAGGTCGCAGCCGGGATGAAATGGCTCAGTTTTTGAAACAGATCATTTTGATTGTGATTTGCAGGAAACTTTGGGCAAAAAACAATTTTGTATTTGTTTGTATATTCTTCCACTTCAGAACAAAACCAGATTTCAGAATCATGGCATTTCCTAGCAAATAAAACTGAGTGGTTCCCACACAGCCACCCTGTTCCAGAAAGACAAGGAAGGTTTTGTTGAATAATTGGCAGGAACAAAAGTTGTCCAAAGGGGAAAAAAACTGAGCCAGAAGAAGTTTTGAAGAAGGTTTCAAAGCCAGTCCCAGAGGTCAGGACAGACCTGAGTTGCTCTGAGCCACATTAAGAACATCCCAAAACCCAAGCAAGAACTTCACCATTAAGATGATCCCAAAAAAGCTGTGCCACAAAAAATAGCTTCCTTGCAGTGTGCTTTGGATAAAGCCTTCCTATAGATGTTCTTGTAGCAGTGGAAAGGGGCAGAGTTTGCCCTCAACACCTTTGCTGCACTCTCTCCAGCAGCTTAGCATTTCCAACCATGGGTACACCCTGCTTTGTTTTCTTTGGCCAAAGTGTTTTGAAGCTTCATGGGGGAGAAAGGAAAAAAAAAAAAAAAAGGATTTGGAGCCATCCCTCCTCTCTCCAACCACTTCTCTCCACTACTGTTTACTATGTGCCTTCAATACAAACCTAAACAGCTGCCTTGGATGCCTGTTGTCACACTCAGGTAAAATGAAGACCGTGCTGATTTCAGCTCTCGTTTTCCACACATGTTCTGCAGCCATTTACTCCCTCCAGCCTCTTTGCCGAGACAATTTTCTCTGCTAGTTTTGGCAATGTTCACTGAAGAATAAGATCAACCCACACTCCAGGACATTATCTTAAGGTCTTCTTTAGCAAATAGCTATTAGAACCTTTTGAAAACAGTACAAGTAATAATAAAAGAGAAAGTTATAGGCTGTGAAATCGTGGATCAGGGCTTGTATGCTAGGCCAATGCCTGAAATGAAGGTTGTTTTCTCTCTGCTGTGCTGATAACTGCTTTAATTTTAGTTCAAGAGTATTGAGATAATCAGATGCATAACTGTTTATCCTGTCCTTGAAACCTAAGCAGGTAGAAACAGAAACTGGTTTTCGCACCCACGATTCATTGACCAGACTAGCTGAATTAGAAAAGGGAGAAAAAAAAATTCAGCTGGTCTAGGCCAGATTTAAATACTTATTCCAGGTGCCACTGGGTGAGAAAGGTAGTTGGTCTGTGTCCCTCAGAGGCACAGTGCCCTTGGCTATCCTCCGGGAGATGTGCCGTCGACACCGTTCCCTCTCCGTGCCGC